CCTCCTGAGAAGCCTGTGGGCTAGCAGCAGTCCAGTACAGTAGCTGCAGCATAATTTGTTAGGTCTACTTTCACACTGTATTTTGGTAGTACATGTGCTGAACAGACTATCATATCTCCTTCAATGCAGGCATAAGCAATCTGACAAATGACATCTCTGTTACATGAACTATCATCCTGTATTTAATCAGTTTTGCCCTCTTGTCTTCTTCTAAACTTCACTTGGTATCTCTTAAAGTAGGCCTTATTCTTTCCACAGCTCTACATAGACTGTAGCATGATTATCTTTACTGTTATAATGCTTGTTAATTTATTTGGGTTTTGTTTTGTTTTGTTTTAAAAAATGGTAAAGGTACTTTTCTCAAGTTTTATACTAATAGGTGCAGATATGAGCACAAATCACACACATACAAACACACACACACATACTGTAAATTGATAGAATTATCACACTGGAACACAGAGAAGAAAAACACAAAAGCCATTTAGGTTCTGGCTAATCCTTTATAATCCAATCTGTCCCAAAGGGCAGCATACTATCCTGGTATCTGGGCCTTAAGGTAAACTTTTTGAGATGTCTGGTCTTGTTATATTCAGGAATAAAACCAAATACAACTTCCTTTAATTCTCTGGCACCTTAAATGAATTTAAAATTGTCTGAAGATAAAATGTTTGCTGGAGAAGCTGCATGAACAAGCTTGTTGCTCTACTATCTAGTCAAGCATTTGGATACAACAACTTTGGCAAATCCCATTAATACTTTGAGAAGTCAAAGACTTTAAAACTTCTAAAGGAAGTTCCTATGGAGTAGTCAGTCACATGGGCAAGTTAAAGCAAGTAGAGTGTGTATACAATATGGTAACAATATAATACAAACAAAAGAAGATTCATTTAATTACAGTGGAAATAACTGTTATATAAAAATGACTTTTTCTTTATCATAGAAGAATAGTCTAGTGGCAAAAGAATTGTATGTTATGATGCCTTAAGACTAGAAACAGAAGACAAAATTTCAAAGTTAAGTCTTGGCAGACACTCAGTCTCCATAGCAAAAATTTTGGCCAAACAATTCCTTTGTAACTTGCGAAGCTTTGTTCTTATCCCTAGAAAGAGAATCCAAAGTGGTTCATTTTAAGTCAAATACAATTTGTGTTCTGCTTTTTCTTTATTATGTACATCGAACTTCTACCCTGAAATTTATAATTACTTGGAGGGAGTATAGTAGAGAAGAATGATCAGTAGACAGGAATGACATTATGTATAAAAAGACAGTAAGCAGATGACAGAGATGAGAATAAGGAGGTGTGTGCCTGGGGTAATTTCTGTTTCAAGCAATGCTGATGGAAGGAAATGTCAGGTCCTAATACTGTACCTTGATATAAACCTGGCACATCAGCCTGGCTACTACCCTGATGAAGTATGGTAAGTTGAGAGAGATGGAAACTACTGAATCAATCACAGACATATCTGAGATTATAAGACCAGGGATCTTGCCTATTTTACCAAAGAACTCTCAGCACTTAAAACTGTCCAGAGCAAGTGCCTAAGCATTCATTAAATATATGAAGAAAACACCTGAAAAAAATGGAGCAGCTCTTGGTTATTTTGCTTAATCTGAATACCTGTCTAGCTCCCTAAGGTAGTGGTAGCTAGTTAGCACTTTTGAAGTTATTATACTTACTTTGAGATGAAAACATTGGCTCTTTTTCTCAAAAAAATATACAAATTATACGGAATTTATACAAATAAATTTTTTTCTATGAAAACATATACAAATTCTATGAATCTCCTAAAATCAGCTCATGTTTCCCAGGTTAAAACCCATGATCTAAAAGGATATAGGCCTCTTTGTAATGCGACCTTCATACCCAAATCCTATCCATGGAAGGACAAAGGGAAGAAAAAAAAAAATCAATGAAAGTGTGCAAATTATTCCTAACAGATTTCTCCATAAAGTGGCAGTATCCTGCAATATTCAAATGAGTAATTTCTATGGCTTATATTTGCTTGGTCCTCATAATGTATTAAGAAGCACAGGCTTAGCGCCAGTAAGATAGCTCAGTGGAATAAATGCCTGCTTAGGGAAGCAAAGGGACAGGGATTCGATCCCTGGAGCCACATGTCCCACTGGCACCGCCCCCAGGCGCAATGAACCAGTCAACAAGATTGGGTGTGGTGGCACATGCCTGTAGCCCCAGTACTGCGGAGGCTGAAAATATGAGGATCACTATGACTCTGAGCTGCTTGTGAGACCCTGTACCAAAGAAGCACAGGTTTATAATTTACAATAAAAGAAATGGCATGAACGTTGATGATACATGTAATAAAACAGATTCATAACATGAGTAGTAATTTTATGGCTTGTCTTTTTAAAAAATGACATACTGTACTCTTACTAATTAAATTAGATTACACACACATGAATAAAAAACATGTCAAGTTGTGGGAGTTCACAAAGTTAATAAAAACAAAGGGAATGAGGGTATATAGCTCAGTGATAGAGAGGTCTGGGGTTTAATCTCTAGCACCATTAAAAACAAAACAAAACAAAACAAAAAACTGTAAGAACTAACTTCACATTCAGAATAGTCCATGAACTCTCCTGAAGGCAGAGGATCTTTCCTGGGTTTCATTAAAAAAAAAAAAAAACAAACACAAACAAAACTGAGGGCCCAGGACGTAGCTCAGCATTGACAAGCACAAGGCTGTGAGTTTGATTCCTGGTACCAGAAAAAGAAAAAAATATATTAAATAAAGGATACATGTGAAAATCACAAAATGACTTTTTATTTTTAATTTTTATTTTTTTTTGGTGGAACTGGGGATTAAACTCAGGCCCTTTCACTTGCCAGGCAAGTGCTTATTCTACTGAGCTATCTCCCCGGCACAAAATGACTTTTTAAAAAGTATTCTTTAACAAATTATGTCAGATCAAAGAAGTGACAGGAAAAATAACATACTTAAGTATAAAACTCCTCTCTTAGCTTGCAGGGAGGACTTGGTGTCAGGTAAGAACAAAGTAGCTTTGTTCTTTCACGTTTTTCTTTTTGCATCTGTAGGTGTTGACACCTAACATGCAAAATAAGCCAATTGGGCAAAGACATTTCTGTAAGTTCTAAAGAGTTTTAAACCATTGTATTTTTAGTGCTCTACTAAATAGTAATACTTATTATTTTCTTTCTGGAAGTTCTGGCTTTACGGATTTTATTTTGGCAAGAATTAGATACTCTATCTTCAGAAAAGGTGCAATTATCCTGAAAAAAAGATCCTTCAAATGTATTTCCTTTTTAAGACTGTAAGACCTTTTTTAATAAGCAGAAAACTACAGAATTTACCTTAATCATTTCACCAAAACATCTATCCTTCAAATGGCAATCATTAAGAAATCAAGCAATAACAAATGCTGGCACAGCTATGGTGAAAAAGGAGCCCTCCTGCATTGTTGGTGGGAAAGCAAACTACTGCAGCCATTATTGAAATCAGTATAGAGATTTCCAAAGAATTGAAACTAGAAAATTCCATATGACCCAGATGACTCTCTGCTAGGTATCATTCCCAAAGAGCTTAAGTCTCATCATACTATGGCATACCAATGTTCACAGCAGGACAATTCATAACAGTTAAATCCTGGAAGCAGTCTGTACACACATCAATAGATGACTAGAGGGCCTGGGGAGATAGCTCAGTAGAATAAGTGCTTGCCTGGCAAGCATAGGATCCTGAGTTCAAGCCTCAGTACCAAAAAAAAAAAAAAAAAAAAAAAAAAAACAACCAAAAAACCAAAAAGACTGGATAAAGAAAATATGGTATATACATATAATTGTACAATGAATGATAAATTTGAGGCATTTGTAGGAAAACAGATGCAGCTGAAAAATACAGTGTTGAGTGAAATAAGCCAGATACACAAGCTTAAAAACCATATGAAAGGGGCCTGCCCTGTAGCTCAGTTTTTTTAAGTGGCTGCTTCAACAAAGCAGTCAGGCTCAGGTTGCTGTGGTTCGATCCCCACAACTCAAGCCAGCCAAACCTGCCCTGAAGGCATTCGGAGGGAAAAAAAAAAAAAAAACCATATGAAATCTCTCATTTGAAGAAGGCAAAGTACAAACAGAAAAAAAAGATGGACAGAAAGGTACAAGGGGATGGATCTCTTGCAATAGGAAAATAATTCAAGGGAACAAAGGTGAGGAGTGAGGAGAGGAAGGGGAAATAAGAATAAAGATGTGTCATGTACAGAACCTAATAAGCTCAATTAATGTAAACATTATAGGTCATAATAAGACCTAAGACAAATAATATCAACAGAAATGAAAAATGGGATAGAAAAATTAGAGAAGAGGAGGGGCCAGGGAGCTGGCTCAGTAGGATACGTGCTTGACTGGCAAATGCAAGGATCTGAGTTCAATCCCCGGTTCCACCAAAAAAAAAAAAAAAAAAAAAGAAAAGAAAAATCAGAGAAGAGGGAAAGGGGAAGAAGATAAAAAATAAAATATGCTGTAATACGTACATGCAACCATTCCCCAAGCCACATGAACTGTAAATTTGTACAAATAAAATAAAATCTATTCAATATTTTTATTTCATTTGAAGATATATAAAGTATATCAAGTTTAGAAAAACCTCAGTAATGAATACATTTTTTTATTTTTCTCTAAGTATGCATAATGTGATTCAATAACAATAGTCTGATGATTCACTAAGGAACCTGACAACTGTTTTTTTTTTTTTTTTTTT